TTTTTTGCATTGGGACTATAACATATTGTTACTGAGAGTGCTGCTCATTTTCTGAATAGGCTTAAGGATTTGACAGTTTTAGTTATCTTCTCCAGATTCTGCACTTCCTTTGAGCATATGACAACTTGACCACCAAGTTATGTCTACACAGGCACAGTTTTGAATCTCTTGGCAAAATGTAAAAGTGCTTTGTCAAGATCGGAACTGCCTCAGGCTGACCTCACTGTTTTCCCAAACTACTGAGGCCCTTTTTATCAAAGGCATCACTTATGTCTGGAAGTCTGTGTAAAGGAGATTATTGCCTATCTTCTTTTCTTCCTGTCTTTGGTCCTGGTCCTCTGGCTGTCCATCTGCTAGACCTTCTTAGCAGGTTCAAGAGTAAGTTCACTCAGGAGGGGCCAAATCTTCCTTCACAGCCCACTTTTTTGTTTATATGGGGTTTGACTAAAAGCAGCCAAGCATTTTCATTTAGTTTTTTTTTTTTAAATCAGATACTTTTTCTTGATTGTCTTGGTTTTGTTGTTGTTGTTGTTCTTTAATTACCTGGTACAGATGGTTATGAGGGAGATATATTTAGTTCCTTATTAGAAAGCTTCAGACGTTCCCAGCAAACCAGGAATATATGGTAAGGCTTTCAACTCTATAGGAATTTTGAAATAGATGTGGCAATTAATGGAGATCAGAGATGGAAAGAGGTATAGATATATGAAAGAGGACTCATGCTTCATGCATTGACTCTTTACAATAGAGCCAGATATATTTATTGGGTGCCTCCTTGCCCTTTCTTTCCCCCCTCCCTCTTCCCTTCCTCCCTCTTCCTTCCCTCTTCCCCAACTCTCTCTCTCCTTCTCCCCCTCCTAATCCACTGAATGCCTTCCATAGCCTAGATGCTATTTTGTCTCTGGTACTTGTCTCTGGGATTGAAACCAGGACCTCATGCAGGCCAGCCAAGTGCTCCGCCATTTGAACCATGCTCCTTCTGTTTGTATTTTATTTACTAACTGCCCGGGCTGACCTCAAACTCACCTTTCTTCCTACCTGTAGTTCTTGAGTAGCTGATATACATGTCTTTTGTTCTTAATGAAAGGACTCAGAAAAAGATGGCTTGAATCACAGCAGAAGGTATTTTTGTTTGTTTGTTTGTTTTGTCGGTTACGGGGCTTGAACTCAGGGCCTGGGTGCTATCCCTGAGCCTCATTGTGCTCAAGGCTAGTACTCTACCATTTTGAGCCACAGCAGTGCCATTTCCAGTTTTTGAGTGGTTAATTGGAGATAAGAGTCTTACAGGGGGACTTTTCTACCCGAGCTGGCTTTGAACCATGTTTCTCAGATTTCAACCTCCTGAGTAGCTAGGATTACAGGCATGAGCCTCCCGGGGCCTGGCTTGAAGATGGCTTTTAAAATATGTATCATGTAAGTGTAAGATATATATCATTTAAATTGCTTTGCTACATTGAATTACAGTGGCCAAGCAGTTCTATTTTATTTCACATCCTCTCATTTTCTAATTTCACTAAATGATTTTATTGACAGTGATGTATAAGTTTTTGTTGAGATGCTCCATCTTTGTTTAATATTAGAAGAAAGGCTTTACATAGCATGATTGATTTTAAGTGATATTCATGAAATTATATGTATAAATATATGTGTATATATATGTATATATACATATATATATACACATATATATACATATATATATATATATATATATATATGTAAGTGTGCCCCCTCCCCTGCATGGGAAAGTTTAGGCCTTGGGTTAGAAATTTGGAAATCATGCAGACAGTGATCAAAAGAACAGTGAGAAGGACTCTGAGCATTGCTTGGAAGGACTACAAGTGGAAGTTAGAGGGATCCAGACAGGTTTAACTTGAGGGAGAATTTCCAAGTAGAAAAACAGCAGGAAAAATCATCATCTGTAAGCAAGTTAAGGTTAGCCTAAAGTCAGACAGGGTTTCTGTGGGTCCTCTGAAGACCCACACTGAGCTGCAGTTCCAGTCCTGTCACCAGGCCCCTGCTGGGTGTTGGAGTTCACTCCACTTGTTTATTTACCTCTTTCCCACTGAACTGTGAGCTACGTGAGGATGGGATTTTTCTTGTTTATTATAAAATCTCTAGTGCCTACTCTAGTCCTTAGCACATGACAGCTAGGCTACAGATAGTCAATAAATAAATGAAAAGCTGAATGGATAAACAAAGAAGAGGAGTAGAAGGAAGAGAACTGGGAAGGTTTGGATGGAGGCAGCAGGGTGTAAAGGGGGCTGTTGGAGCTGTGCTCTGTGGGTGGAAGGCCTTTGCTTTGCGTGGACCCAGAAAAAGCAGCAGGGACCCATAAAAGCATAGGTTGGAGGGCTCCTCATATCAGGAATGATATGGCTATTAGAGTTACTCTATAAAAAGGCCATGATACACATGTAGTCTCTTTCCCAAGGCCTGCGGAGGGCTTCTGTGTGACAAGAGGTTGCTAAACCATGATAGGATGCTCAAATTTCCAGGTACTATGGCCCTCCCTGACAACTCTCGACCCTTACCTCTCTGGCCACTGTAGAGAAACGCTGTAGATCTTCCAGAAAGGTTTGGAGTTCTTGATTCCATGCCTGCCTCACCTTGTCACTTGATTTAAAAAGAAAATAGTAAAGTACACACAACCCAAGTTTAGCCATTTTAGCCATCTTCAGAGTACAGTAATGTGAGGCTGATTGACATGGTTGGACAACTACTCTTCAGAAGTCTTTATCATATAAAACTAGAACTCTATACCCGTTAAAATAAACCACACTCCCACAACAGCCTATGCCATTTATTTTTTCTAAGATGTCAAGCCTTCATTCTTTGGACAATTCAAGTTAAAACCTTGCCTTTTCCCTTGAATCATAGAATACTAGTGATGGCATCCAGGATGCCCAGGTGCACATGGGAATAGGTCTTTTTTTTGTTTTATCTATTTAGGAATGAGCAACCACTGCCGTGCTCCAGAAAGTAGGCTAAAGCCCTTGGCTGACGGCCTGGCTGTCCATTGAAAGGGGTATGGCAGGCCCATCACAAGGTTCAAAACTGGGTTGACTGTCTAGCTGGAAGCGTTCATATAGAGCATTGTTATCACCCTTCCTGGACTCCTGGTTTCCTGCTCTAGGGTTCTGATCTTCTGGACTTGTCTAGATCCCTTTAGTTGTGCTGCATTTCTTGCTGGCCTCTTTCTTCCATTGCAAGCCTGAACTCAATGTGGTAATTAATACCTTGACTTTTGCCTTTGACCGACAGCAGTGCTGGCCTTCAGCTCGCCACCATCCCATTCAAAATATGCCTCTTGCCCTGAAAAATCCTTTTCCCCTGTGGTTCCTGTTACTTCCACTGTCAGAAGGTCCTGTATTGAGCTGAGGAATGCCATTTCCTTCAGAACCTCTCTTAACCTTTGGGAGGTGATGCTATAGGCAGGGAAGAGAAGACTGAGCTTTCCTCAGGAGAGCTTCATCCTGTAACTGTGAGGCAGCTGCTCTTAGTATCACAAGTCTTTTTCTCAGAGATTTGCCAGTGAAGCAAGCTTCTCTCTCTGACCACAGCATGGGGTGCCTTTATCCCTCAGCCTTCTGGGCTGCAGGTGGGCTTCTGCAGGTGGGGGGCCTCTTGGCAGATTTCTTCCTGCAGCTTGTCTGCTTCCCATCAACTGACAGATACAAGGTGCAGAGGGAAGGAACAAAGGATGGTAATCTTCATGTTCTCAGAAATCTTATTATCTGCGTGTTGCAAACAGACCTACACATGTGAAAGGATGACTACATATTATGCCAAGCAGTAAATGTACAATGCCATCCGAGTTGAATGGGCTACATATCCGACATGAGTTCAGAGGCAGGGCCAAGATCACTTCCAGCTGTGCAGGTCCAAGCTGGCTTCACAGGCCAAGAATTCCATGCAAACAGGGTTGAAGAGCAGCCTGCCTTTGTGCCCAGGGAGGAGATGGGATGAGCTCACCTCAAGGATGGAGTCAAGAGTATATTCTTTAAAAATGCATTTAAAAACATTTTCAGTATTTGCTCTGTCTCTCTCATACTTGTGAAGTAGAAGTGTCATGTCCAATCCAAATGGGAGTTTCAGGGGTGACTGGTTGCAGGGGTCTGAAGCAGAAAATCTGGATGAGTGCAGAGGGAAGATCTAGTCAGACCTGTGACTGCTGAATTTGTACATTCATTTCTACACAAATAATGGTGAGTAAAATTAGACATCTGGAAGAGGCACATATTTCAAAGTTATTTTGGTCTGATCTATAAAGCGCACTATGAAGAATATGATTGGTAGCTGGTCTTAATAAACAGTTAGTGGGTTCTGCCTGCCTGAAATGCAAAACAGATGTATCTTTGTTCTTTTCAACTGACTTTGATGAATAAACTATATGTGACGTCAGGGCCGAGCTATTGGATGTCTGAGTCCTGCTCAGAAATATTTTAGAATATAAAAAAAAGTTTCCATGGTCGACACTGAGAGAACAAAGTGAATTCCAGTTGCATTGCTGTGAGCATTGAAGCAGGTTCAGAAATTCCGAGAGGACTTGTCCAAGCAACCCCTTTGGGTATTTGGGGCATTGTTACTCTCCGTCACACCCAGGGGCCCTCTCATCTCACAGCTGCAAGCTCCAAGGGGATTTGATTCTCAGCTGTCACTGGTGGGACTTTTGTGGTGATCATTACTGCTGTTTTGCTTGTTGATACAAATGCTTCCTAAAAGGGAAAAATAGGATTCTGCAGCAATCATCCAGGACCTGGGACTGTGTGATGTTGCCATTTTCCCCAACTGGTTTGGTTATGAATGATGCAGGATTTTTAATCATTAGCATCTTGGCTTCACTGGGTGTTTTTGGCAGACTGACCCTCCAGTCAGCCCTCCTCTGTGCTCTGTGCATCAGGAAACAAGCTCGCTCTGCAGGTGTTTCATCCATAAACAAGCATCCACCACCAGCTCCTCTTTCTTTTTACGGAAACCCTTTGGAATTTAACTTTCAGATACAAATACTTGGAGCAGTTGGCAGCTGAGGCACACGAGAAGGAGCTGAGGAGCCGGAGTGCGAGCCGTGACAGAGCTGACCTCTCTCTGGACCTCACCTTGCCAGTAGCCTCAGCTTTGTCTGCTGCTCGAAGCCAAAGCCCTTCATCTCTAGACTTGGAGGGGTCTTCCACGGTGTCACCTTCCTCCCTAGCATCCCCTCAGCATCTCCAAGGTAAGTGTTAAGAACAGAGGGAAGAGGGATAGGTTAACATCGGATGGGCTGCTTCTGGGAAGTGGTAGCAATTCCAGCCTGCTCTGAAGAGAGCAAGACAGGTAAGTTTGGGAGATGATGGCAACCTGTGCTGTGACTAATAATGCAGATGACTTCAGAGCCACTTACAGTAAAGCAAAGGAGTTACAGAAGATGTCTTTCTAAATGACTAGTGAAAAGAGCAAATATATATAGTGACTTGGATACCTAATCCTAAATACCAAGGTATTAACAGTACTTTCTAATTTGTGTAGGTGATTGATTCTGCCCACAGAGTGACTGCTTTTGAATTTTCTTGCCCTAAGAATTATTAGCTCGGCATAAGTTAAGTTGATGGAGAATAAAATTAACTAAAGCAAGCAAAGAAAAAAATGTAGACCTAGTGAAAATAGATGTTAAATTCCTAAGAAGGAAGAAATAGTAAAAGAAAATATTACTGGCATGTGATGTGTGTATGTGTACATGCCAGTGTGCAGACAGGCAGGCTCTTCCTGGAGATATTCTGTCTTCTTAGCTTTACTTAGAGCTTTATTTGGAGAAATATTGCCTGCAGCCTTGAGCATCAGCTGTTTTCCTGAGTGGTCTGTACCATGTGGGTCCATTTGCTTGCATGTTAACACAGAGCATGAGTCTTGGGCATAAGCACTTATATAATGTGTGTTCATTAACACTGCCACTAGCACTGTTTGGTTTCATTGAGTGTCATGGCTTACCGCCTGATACAGCCTTAGCCAACTGAAGACAGCAGAGACGCTAAACTTTTAACTCTCAGAGGGTTGACTAAATATGGCATAAAGTTTCATTTAAGCAAGGCAAGACTCCATGACCTCAGCAGAACTGGATGTAATGGAACCACATTGTCTGTCCAATTTCTTTTTTTAATTTTTATTTTTTGCTGGCTCTCTTAGCCTCAGGACCTGTTCTGTAGGAGCAGGCTAGCTCCCCCACAGCGTTCCATCCCATCTAGTTCCTCCTGGTCCCTGAGCCATGGAAGATTGTCCCAGGCAGATGGCTCAGTCACAGATGAGTAATGTCGGTCTGAAAATATTGAGATCTCTGGAGAGCAGGAAAACAGCTTTGGACTTTCCAAATCTGCTTTATATCATTGCTTTCTATCGACATTGTGATATTTCTAGGGGCAGTAGGAAAAAAATATCCCTCAGCAAAGTTGTAGTTGAGTACCTAATCCTGGGACACTTGATTCTGTTTAACCTCTAGCTATTTACACAATGATTGTCTGAACTGTAAAACACTGAAACAGCCCCTAGAACTCTCAGTATCTGTAAATATTGTTTCATCTTGAGATTTTTAAACTACTTAGTGTTTATGGCAGAAGTATTTTGTCCAATTTGAGTTGAGCTTGCAGTCCTATCTAGTAAGAAAAAATATTTCAAGCTTCAAGCACTCATAAAATACATATTTTTATATAAACAATATGCAGAATGATAAGTAGCAAATGTAATTTTCTTTGTCAGTGGAAGGATTTGATAGAGATTGAGAGAATATTTCACTAAAATTATTCAAGTGATATCTGCATCTGAAAAAGGGTATAGGATTTGAATTGATATATACTTACAAACTAATAAAACATCATGTGATGTTTCTTTTTTTCCAGAGTTGGGGAGAGGTGGCTCTTTTTGGATCTAGAAGAGCTGTCCATCACATGTTAACTGTGATCCATATTGATGGAAATATTCTAACTACCTTCCACTGTTACATAACTGTGTCAGTGTTAGGACTTGAACTCAGGACCTTGAGTTCTCCCTTGGCATTTTTAATTGAGGCTGGTGTTCTATCACTTGAGCCACATCTCTACTTCTGGATTTTTGCCAGTTAATTGGAGATAAGAGTCTCCCAGTCTCCTGAGCTGGCTTCAAACTGTGATCCTCAGATGTCAGCCTCCTGAGTAGCTAGGATTACAGGCATGAGCCACCAGCACCTGACTGTAACTGATTTTTCAAATAGAAGATTAAAAGCATCTCAAGAACAATTTCATGGGAGAAAGGTCTTTAAAAGAATGTTTGAATCTTCCTTTTGATTAATGGACTTCTGCTTGAGATAAGAGGAATATTTTTCTCAGCGCACGTTGTTAGTGACCTTTGAAATGCCCCCTAGCATCCCACTAATAGTCTATTCTTTCTACCATTGTCAAACGTTCAAAGTAACCTTTTTGATTATCCCTAGCATTTACATTCTTCCAGCATCTGGAGGAAGATAAAAAAATTAATCACACATCCAGATGTTTGTCTTGCATCAACACCTGGCATTATGGAGTCGAAACGTGCCAGGGATTGACTTGCTCTGTCACTCTTGATCTTTGTGGGATCCTATGATCATGACATACTTGACATCTTTTTAGTCCTTTTCCTTTCCTCCCAAATACTGCTCTTTGATATCTTGTTGTGCATTTGGTAAGAAGAGAGATGATAGTCACCATATTTCCTGGGAGTTGAACCCAGTGACCTGGCTACATAGAGTCCTAGGTCTACTGTATTCATGGTAAGTGTCCAATTTGTGCCATACCACCTCTTTCTTTTCTCCATGATCACTAAAAGCTGCATCCTCCATTTCAGAATTGGATTTATACAAGGAGGAAAAAAACATGAATTATGTGTACCTCAAGATTATAGGTCATTTTATGCCTTCTTTTACTGCCATTCTTTATTGCAATTCTGGAGAACTTTTAAAGTCAGCAGTTATAAAAACATTAAAAAATTCTTTTCTTACAAAATATATTTTTTAAAGAGAAGGACTAATGGTTAAATACCAATAGCATTATGGCCCATCCAGAGAGATCTTTCAGCCAAAACTCTTGCCGGCTGAATCTGCTGAAACTTTTGTATAAACGATGCCACTAGCCCCCACCATCAAGTCGATGTGTGCTTGAATTATTTTTCCATCTGGTCCTTTTGTGGCTCACAGCAGATGTGTGTCCCAGTATTGCCTAGACTTAATAGTGATGGAATGAGTGTTTTTCCCTGGTATAAAACTACCAGACCCAAGTGAGAAAAAGCCATCTCTATGTGTTCTTATTTTCACTGCACTGTAATGAATGATGTCCAATATCTTGTTAAATATGGAAGGATAGCTCTCTTTATCCATTGGTTCTATATCTTTTTCTTTTTCCCAATGATTTTAGGAAGCTTGCGCCATAATATCTGCTAATAAGTTTATTATTATTTTTGGAAAGTAACAGATAACTCTGGAATCAAATCAATTATTTTTGTGAAAGAAAAAGTATAGTGTTTCTCTTAGGATAAAAGTCTACGGCATGACTTTTCAGACAAGTGCACTGAAGATTGATAGTCATTTAGGCCTAGTGTGTGGCTCATACCTGTCATCTCAGCTACTCAAGGACTACTTACCTGAAAGCCAGATGTTGGATGGTACTCCTGGGGTTGAAGTGCCCTATAACTTTCATGAAAACCACTTGTTAATGATGCTCCTCCCACCTCCTCCCCTGGGGAACTGGGGCTATGTCCCATCTTACTTCGTCCCTCACAGGGGAGGCCAGTGGAGAGAAATGGCCTTTCCAAATGGTAGGAAGCTGTCAGAAGTGGCTTTCATCACAAAAATGCCCATAGTAGTGAGATTATTTTTGTTGTTAACCTGGTAGCCCCATATTGCACACAGAAAATAATACTTTAAATGTGCATTGAATCTTCTGCTATGACACTTTAATTTTATGACAGGAAAAACACCTTCAGCAACAATTTCTTTTTCAACCTATAATTAGATTGGTTCCTAGATATTTCCAAAAAGTCTTACACCATTTGCCCCTGGGGGTATAAGATACAGACTACTCAACCATGTGTTTGCCTGATAGCATTCATAGAAATTATTGACAATGATACACTGATGCTTCATCTTATAGATCCAAGCATTTACAAGTTTGGAAAATAAAGTCAATTCTAGGTTCACTTTTGGATAAATCAGTTCTGGTTTCTCAAACCTGAAAATAAAGTATTAATACTGTAATTATGTCACCAAGTATTCAGTCTATTCAATTTCAGGAGGACATACAGTCATCATCTTGATCCTCATTAGCATTAAATTTGAGAATCTTGGACACTTTTGTTCTTTAGGCCCAAAGTGTTTGGTTCTCCTTCAGGTGCGGGCACTCTCCTAGCTTACCTAATCCCCATGGCATTAGGGAGAAACATCTGGTATCCTATTTCCAGCTGGCATAGTAGCAGTGGAATATCCTTGTCAGTCATCAGCCTCATGCATGCTGGTTCACTAGCATAAAGTTTTGGGACACCTCCAGTCCAGTGTTTCCTGGATTGGCAGGAAACTTGACTCCTTGTGGGTATGTGACTCAGGCTGCCCTGCCTCCTCAGGCCTCACCTGACTGAGGCCACTTGATGCCATTTGGTACACTAGTTCTAACCATAGCCAAGGGCCAACCTGCTACACGTGCTGTGGGACCTTACTGAGAGCCTTGGCAAGTCACTGGATTTCACTTCCTTCTTATTTCTCTGTCTATTTAAGAGTGGGAAAAAAAAAACAAATGTTTACCCATTTTCTCACTAGGGAGAACAACAATTGTCTGCAATGTGTTTTCTTGCACTCTATCTTCACATGAGATATTCTTTAGTCCTTTTGAAGTAAACAAAGTAGGGAGAAGCACAGAATGACATTGAGAAAATTGATGAAGGGGGCCTTATCTAATTGGCATGGTGATTTCATGGACATTATTAGATGTCAAGAAGTGTAAAAGCTCTGAAACTTTATCCTCTTTGTAACCATGTAAGTTAGCTGCAATGATGCACACTGGAAGAACACATGAAACACCAGGATGGGGGGAAATGGTGTTATTTGTACCAGTGGAAGTAGCTATAGAATCAGCACTTTACCATTTTTCTAAGCCTCATTTCTGACAGTGATGTGATTAGGATCTAGTGATACCTGTACCCATACTGCAAAAGATTTAAGAAGAGGAATCCTGAGCTTAGAGACCC